GCTAAATTCTGACCACTGTACTGGATAGTTGAATTTATAAATGGGTGGTTTCTTGCACCCATTCGATAGAAAAAATGGAGTTCTAGCGAAATATTCATGTTTTTTGTCGACTAGTACAGTGAAATTGGCCGAAAATGGGGCTCAAAGTGGGCAAAATCGCCGATCCGTAAACATCGCCGAGACCGCTAACTTTGCGAGAGCATAATTCCGTAAGTTTTCTATCAAATTTCAAACTTTTGGTGTCGTTATGATCGGGAAAAGATTCTCTATCTTTTCATAAGAGAAAATAATTTTTTTTTTTTTTTAAATTTGGCCGACCCTGAGAACGAGTTTCGGAGAGGGCCTGTCGACCCTCAAAGGGTTAAGCATCCCAGTTTTATAAAGTTTTTCTTCTTCTCTTTTTTAGTAAATGTCTACAGGAGAAGGGGTTACTAGCCCACTGCTCAGGCTTGTATAGTCGCCTTCTACGAGCAGTGGCTTACGGGGAGAAGATTCTTTCACTTCCCATGGAAATAGAGATTAACAGGAAAAGAGTTTAGAAAAGGTGTAAAAACCTAATGATGGTTTAATAATAATGCTAGGGTGTTGGTGAAGAGTGTGACAAATTAGTAGGAAGCAAATTCCAATGTTATCATTACTTTTTGAGAAGAAAAGAACTCTATGAACTCTACAAAAAATCAAAGGTTTTTGTAGTTACGGTATGTGGAAGGTAGACTTGAAAGTGGTCTGTTAACCAAACCTACACCGTATCAGGTATCAAATGATTTAGAAAAGAAAAATTGGATATCAATGGAGAGGAGTATGGAAGAAGTGAATGTTTTCAGATATTTGGGAGTTAACTGTCAGCGGATGGTTTATGAAGGATGAGGTTAACCATAAATTGATGAAGGAAAAAAGGTGAGTGGTGCATTGAGATATCTATGGAGACAAAAAAAACATTATCCATGGAGGCAAAGAAGGGAATGTACAAAAGTGTAGTTGTACCAACACTCTTATATGGGTGTGAAGCTTGGGTTGCAAATGCTGCAGTGGGAGGCAGCTGGAGGCAGTGGAGATGTCCTGTCCAAGGGCAATGTGTGGTGCAAATATTATGTAGAGAATTTGGAGTGTGGAAATTAGGAGGTGTGGAGTTACTAAAAGTATTAGTCAGAGGGCTGAAGAGGGATTATTGAGGTGGTTTGGTCATTTAGAGAGACTGGATCAAAGTAGAATGACTTGGAGAGTGTATAAATCTGTAGGGAAAGGAAGCCAGGGTAGGGGTTGTCCTCGAAAAGGTTGGAGGGAGTGGGTAAAGGAGATTTTGTGGGCAAGGGGCTTGGACTTCCAGCAAACACGTGCGAGCGTGTTAGATAGGAATGGAGACGAATGGTTTTTGGGACCTGACGAGCTGGAGTGTGAGCAGGGCAACATTTAGTGAAGGGATTCAGGGAAACCGGTTATTTTTATATAGCTGAACTTGAGTACTGGAAATGGAAAGTACAATGCCTGTACTTTAAAGGAGATGTTTAGGATATTGGCAGTTTGGAGGGGTAAGTTATATATGCTTCTAAACTGTTGTATGAGTGCCTCTGCAAAGACAGTGATTATGTATGAGTGAGATGAAAGTGTTGAATGATGATGAAAGCATTTTCTTTTTGGAGTTTTTTTCTTTTTGGGTCACCCTGCCTCGGTGGGAGACGGCCGACTTGTTAAAAAAAAAAGAAAAAAAAAAAAAAGTTCTGGGAAACCGGTTAATTTATGAGGATAGCTAGGACTTGAGTAACTAGGAAATGGAAAGTACAACCTACTAAAGCAATTTTAGGATATTGGCAGTTTGGAGGGGTAAGTTATATATGCTTCTAAACTGTTGTATGAGTGCCTCTGCAAAGACAGTGATTATGTATGAGTGAGATGAAAGTGTTGAATGATGATGAAAGCATTTTCTTTTTGGAGATTTTTTCTTTTTGGGTCACCCTGCCTCGGTGGGAGATGGCTGACTTGTTGAGACAGACAGACACACACAGACACACAGACACACACACAGGGAGAGTGACCTAGTAGCGACCAGTGAAGAGGCAGGGCCAGGAGCTAGGACTCAACCCCTGCAACCTCAACTAGGTGAGTACACACACACACACACACACACACACACACACACACACACACACACACACACACACACACACACACACACACACACGCACACACAAATTTCGTAGCGTGTTTCTTATATAATTTTGAAAAAATATCATAGATGGATTAATGAAAATGTATATTAACATAATATATAACATTTAACCCTTAAATGGTCCAAACAGATCGACGTTCAAATTCGTATTGCTACAAAAGTAGATCTACTTTTTTTTACATATTTTCAAATAAAACAAAAAAAAAATGTAGATAAAAGTTTTTTTTTTACATGTTTTCAAATGTAAAACAAAAAAGATCTACATTTTTTTACGTACGTTCAGATGTTGAAAAAACGTATATATACGTTTGGACCGTTTAAGGGTTAATGTGCCTCAGTATTATTATTATTATTATTATTATTATTATTATTATTATGGCATCAAGACTAGCGAGACACTCAACAGTGATTTAAATGTGTACCTGCATGCCAGCACAGTGTGTATGTTTATTTAGGTACAGGTACAGATAAGTATATTATCACAGTATACATGTATATAAAATATGCAGAAAACGATTCTCTACCATTTCATAAGAAAAAATAACAAAATTTTTTTTTTTTAAATTCTTGGACCCTGGTGCGCACTTTGAAATTTGGCCTCTGGACCCTGAAAGGGTTAAAAACACTTGAAATTTTGGAAAGTTTCCAGACATACTCGAGAGATGTGGAGCTCACAGAGAATGTAAACAAACAGAATGGTTTGAGGACACTGTAACAGTGAACCCCTGGTTTTCAGCCAGTGCAGAAATTGTACAATTCGGATTTCTAGCACTTTTTTCAGTGAAATTTCCCCCTGGGTTTTGTACATCGACTTGGAAATTCACTGTACCAGATGCGTCCGCCTGGGCCGCTCATACATTCGTGACTCACTCTTGGGCACGTTAAATGTCTTATTTTACGTTAATATAAACATTTTCATTAATCCATCAATGATATTTTCTTAAAAATTATGTAAGAAAATGTTAAATAGCATATAAACATGCCTTTGTTACTCATTCACTAAGAGTGACCACAGTATTACTAATAGTACGTAATAGTAATCACTCTTGGGCACATTAAATGTCTTATTTTAGGTTAATATAGACATTTTCATTAATCCATCTATGATATTTTCTTCAAAATTATACTATAAGAAACACGTTACATAGCATACAAACATGCAATGTTTATATGCTATCGAGGGGTCGGTGGAGGGTAAACATTACGTTTTCTCTCGTCCAGCTTCAGAGAAAACACGTATGAATCTGCGTTGGCCCAGTAACCAACCGCCCTCAACCCTTTGACTGTCGCAAGCCCATTTCTGAAACTGTCATTGTCGCAAAATTTTTGGAAAAAAACAAAAAAATTCCTTATGAAATGATAGAGAATCTTTTCCCGATGCTAATGACACCAAAAGTACGAAATTTGATCAAAAATTTATGGAATTATGCTCCCGCAAAGTTAGCGATCTTGGTAATATATAGGCATCGGCGATTTCGCCGACTTTAAGCCCTATTTTCGGCCAATTCCATTGCTCCAGTTGACCAAACTCATAGCTATTTCTTTAAAACTCCATTTTTTCTATCAACTGAGTACAAGAAACCGCCCATTTACCGATTTCAACTACCCAATAAAGTGGTCAGAAATTGGCAATTTGGCCAATTTCACATAAATTAAAAAGATGCCAATTTCAAAATAGGGTCCAAAATAAACAATGCAGACATTCTTGGCACTAAAATAACATATCCTCTGCTCATTAGTCACGTCTCCAGGCCCCTCTTACATTACTCTTGCTTCCTATTTTGATTTTCTATTCACACAAAAATAGATTTACTGTTATGCAGACTACAGCATTATTGTAAAAATGGTATAAATAATATCAGTAGATTAGTGAAAGAATATCAGACTCCCCAGTTGACGTGTATTGGACATGTGTTGTAATTTGCTTACTCTTGAACATTGGTAAAAATCGAACATTTCCGCTACTTTGAGCTCAATTTCAAGGTCGTTTTCATCATGAAACTAGTTAAAATCATCTCTATTTCTGTAATATGCTTTTGATTCTATCAAATGAGACCAAGAAAACGAGAATACAACCATAATTACTACATGAAAAATACACCTCAAAGTCGGCATTTAAATTCAAAAACACGATCGGAGTTTTTTTTTTCCTCATTATGCACTGCGTGCTGCAGGATTTTTTTTATACAGTGCACACTGACCACAAAGACCCATTCTCTCACATACTGAGTAAATATACATCCAAAACACTGGCTCCTAAGACGTGTATATATGGCCGAAACAGTCAAAGGGTTAATAGTACATAAGGCTTTTGTTTGCAATTCTCAGCATGAATTATTCATTACTTCTCCCTTCGTTTATGGCATCTAAAGGTAGTTGTTAGAAACAATTAAACTCAGCGAACATGGTATGTCGATAGTAATAATAGGCTATAGGCCGCAGTGTATGTAGTTATATGCCTGGGACGTAGTCCCTCTGGGACTACAAATAAATACTACTCGCCATGTATGTAATGTTCATTTATCATTAAAATTTGGCATTTATATTTATTTTTCTTTGTTTTCTGTATGTAAAACTACAGTTATTCTCCATAAAATGTATTTTTTTTTTTTAATATTTTTGGGTATCTGAAGCAGATTAATTGGATTTACATTATTTCTTATGGGAAATATTACTTCGGTTTTCGGCCATTTCGGATTTAAGTCAACCTTCTGGAATGGATTAATTACGAAAACTGGGGGTCTACTGTAATTTGAAATGTTCATATTAGTGAATAACCGTAAAGTAAAGAGCCATAAAGTGGGACCCTCCTGTAGTGAATATTTTAACTTACCTGAAGTGTCTTCAGAGTCACTTGATGATGAATCTGAGCTATCACTACTGCTGTCTGAAGAACTGTCTGAACTGCTGCTGCTACTGCTACTACTAGTGGTGGTGGTAGTGGTGGTGGTGGTTGTGCTGCTATCACTTTCACTGCTACTGTCACTGCTGCTGTCACTATCACTCTTGTTACTATCATTTTTATTTAATTGCTGCTGCACGGGTGCCACTACAGCTGTTGGTTTTGGCTGTAATTAAAATAAATTACCATAAATCATAATATACAACAAAGAATCAACAATCATATGCTGTATTTCAAATGGTATATACATATAAACTCATCTAAAATTTTATTCTTACAACATGCACCTTCCCTGTTAATATATTATTAACCACCAAATTTACACCAATAAAATAGCCAAATAACTTTGTACAAAGTTTCCAGTTACAGATGATTTAAAAATATCAATTTCAACTTATAATAACAAGGCTTGTGTTTGAATTTATAGTATTTACTTAAGAGAAAAACATTAATTTTTAAAAACCATTGTCAGTGGTTTACAAACTATGGTGCAAGAACCCCCAGGGTGCACCCTTTGACTGTTTATGCCGTATAAATACGTTTTACGCACCACTGTTTCTGATGTATATATACTCAATAATTCTAGCGGCTTCAAATCAAGCGGGAGAAAGCTGGTAGGCCCACATGTGAGAGAATGGGTCTCTGTGGTCACTGTGCACCACATAAAAAAAATCCTGCAGCACACAGTGTGTAATGAGAAAAAAAAAAAAACTGATCGTTTTTTTTTATTAATGCGCCGACTTTGAGGTGTATTTTCGTATAGTATTTATTGTTGTATTCGCGTTTTCATGGTCTTAGGTGATAAAATGGAAAACATATTACAGAAATAGAGATGTTTTTCATTACTTTGACGATGAAAACGACCTTGAAACTGAGCTCAAAGTAGTGGAAATGTTCGATTTTTACCAATGTTCAGGAGTAAACAAATCACATCACACGTCCAATACACGTCAACTGGGGAATCTAATATTCTTTCACTAGTGCACTGATATTATTTATACCAATTTTACAATAATGCAGTAGTCTGCATAACAGTAAATTTTGTATTTTTGTGTATGAATAAAAAATCAAAATAGAAAGCAATAATAATACAAGAGGGGGCCTAGAGATGTGACTAATGAACAGAGGATATGTTATTTTAGTGCCAAGAATGTCTACCTTGTTTATTCTGGACCCTATTTTGAAATTGGCATCTTTTTTATTTTGCGTGAAATTGGCCAAATTGCCAATTTCTGACTACTATATTGGGTAGTTCAAATTGTTAAATGGGTGGTTTCTTGTACTCAGCTGATAGATAAAATGGAGTTCTAAAGAAATAGCTATGAGTTTGGTCAACTGGAACAACGGAATTGGCTGAAAACAGGGCTCAAAGTCGGCGAAATCACCGATACGCATATGTCGCCGAGACCGCTAACTTCGCGGGAGCATAATTCCGTGAGTTTTCAAACAAATTTCGAACTTTTGGTGTCATTACCATCGGGGAAAAGATTCTCTATCATTTCATAAGGAAAAATAATTTTTTTTTTTCAAAAATTTATCGACATAGAATGGACAGTTTCAGAAAGGGGCCTGCGACAGTCAAAGGGTTAAGGGTGTGGGAAAAAATTTCATAACAGGTATTCACATTTAATTTACTGTATTGTATACTGTCATACTCCTTCCCTCCAATATATATAGTCTCTCGCTGTCTATATATTTTGATACTCTCATCACTTTGCTCTTTTCCTATATTCACTTTTAATTTCCTTCCTTTACATACCCTACCCCATTCTTTTGTCAACCTTTGCAACCTCTCTTCAGAATTTCCCCAAGAGAACTTTGTCATCAAGATAAAAGCAACAGTGACAACTCCCACTCTGAACGAAAATCATTATCTATCACTCTCACACCTCTCCCCAACAGTCATAGTACAGGTATATGAATTTAAATTTTTATGAAGCAATGCCTTATATTAAATGAATTAATTTCCTGTCACCTTTTATTCTTCCTAAAAAAAATTGCATTGAACCTTCTACAATAACTAGATTTAATCTATTTAGTGAACAAATGATATATGCATGATTTTGTGAAAGAGGACAGTGTGTATTTACCTGAGTACGAAGAAATTCTCGTAGTCCATCTGTGAGGCCACCTAAACCACATGATGTAAAAAAGTTTATCGCAAATCGAGTGTTACGTGGGTTGTCTCGAGGTAACAAACCCTCAAAAGCAGGAGCGAGTGTTGGATCCCGTAGCCTCTCATTAAGTTTTGCTAAACTCATGAACTCTGCAAGCTCCTGTAAATCATTAAATATCAGTACTGTATTAAGCAAATTAATTTATTAACAAAATTATAATTCATATAAAGTTAAGAAACTTCAGATATATAAAGTACAGAATAATTTTGCATTCACAGGAAAGTTTCACATGAATACAGCGTCTCCTCACTTAACAACGGAGATAGGGACCTAAGACCCTGTCGGTAAACGAATTTGTCGCTAAACGAGGAGCATACTATAATGGTAGTGGATTTGTGTCAACCATCTTTGATATTGTTTTAATGTCACCTTGACACCATTTATAACATTTCTAGTATATTTTTAAATGTTTATACAGCAGTGTACCGTATATTGTAATAAACAGAATTGAGGAAATCAGCTCTAACATACATTATTTAGGTATAAATACTGGTCAGAGAGCCCATTGTAAGTCCGAGGCGCCAGTAAAGGAGTACGTCACTAAGTGAGGAGAGGCTGTATTTGATGCTAAACTGCTATGTATTATATGATAAGTAATACACACTGTATAGAGAAGTGTTAAAAAAAAATACAGGCATTTCCACACTTATGATCTAACTGGTTTCAGGAGAGCCATCACCAGTTGCTCTATTGAAAACTGAACCATCATTTCCCATAAGTGTAATACGTACTATAAATAGAGGTTCTATTCCTAGAAACCAATTGCATATGCTAAGAATTTTTTAACGGGTTATTTTTTTAACATAACAGCTGTCTAGCAACAGGTAGGGTAAACCCTCACCTCAAAAAGGAAAATGCATTCATCATTCATTCATTCATTCATTCAATAGCTGCCTTGCCAGAGGTGTGAATATATCACAATTTAAATGTCCGTGCAAACTGCAGCCCCTCCACCCTTCCCTTTGAGTGTAGGCACTGCACTTCTCACCTTAAAAGATAAAAAGATAAAGATTTTATTTCTTTGTAAAGATTACAATGTGTAATTACAATTTTGGTTTGCTAAGTACAAAGAAAGCCACTATCATGCCAGGGCATTTTGGGCAGACCAATCCTAGTATAAAATAACTATTTAAATCTAGACAAGATAAGAGTGGTTAACTTTTTAATATATTTTTATTTAATCTAGTACTAATACAAACCATACCACGGGTGGGGTTTGAACCCACGGTCAGAGTGTCTCAAAACTCCAGACCATCGCGTCAGCCACTGGGCCAGCTCGCTTCAACAAGATTCATCCAAATAGGTATATTTCTACACCACAGAAAGGTTAGCACAGGCACCACTGTGACCACATATGCAAGTTTTTACAAACGAATCTCCTGCTAGCATGGCCATGATGAACTCTAGCTCAAGTTCCCTCAAAGCCGTCAACATGACTCACGAAATTGTAATGACACGTGATATGGTTTGTTTACAATCGTGTCATTACGATTTCGCGAGTCGTGTTGACAGCTTTGAGCTGGTATTCATCCGCACAGCAGCTTTTTGTTGGGTTATTAAAGGCTTAAGGAGGTTGATTGTGGTTGATCCCCAGGCACAAATACCAAAGGTGAGTTAGGGATATATTAAAGAGTGGTATAGGGTAAGGAGTGTCACTTGGGGTACATAGTATCATATCTTGGAAAGGATGCCTACTGATTTGGGAATTTTCTTGGATATATGCTGGATGTGGGAATGAAATTTAAGATTACAGTCAAGGAGAAGACCTAGAAATTTACCCTGTGTGTCTTGTAATAGGGGAACCATTTATCGATATATTAACTTGGATATTTAAGGCTCTGTTTCCAAACAGCATGAAGTACATTTTGTCTATGTTGAGAGTGAATTTGTTGGTCATCATCCAAGTACATATTTTTAGCAGCTCGTTGTTTACAGTGTCTGTAAGTATAGCTGGGTTTGAGTGGGAGTAGACATAAGTATTGTCAACTGCATTGGGGAGATCACTGATGTAGATGAAAAAGAAGAGTGGGCCTAGGACACTACCCTGGGGCACTCTGACAGCTACAGGCTGGACTTTTGTCCGGTTAACAAGTTTCCCTGAATTCTTTCATAAATGTTACCTTGCTCACATTAAAACAAACCACTTGTTTCCACTCACTCTGTTATCATGGAATGGAAAAATCATACATTTAAGAATGGGAGAGAAAAACTGAGCAGTCTTAAGTTGGGAATCACCTGTATTTACTGGTCTTAAAGGTATATAACAAAAGAGAGTGAATATGACAGTTTGTTGAGCTAAGATTAGGAAATTATCATCAAAGGGTTTTTAGTCATACTGTATAATGTGCAAGTGTGAACTTTATCAAAATCAATACCTCACATATGAGACAAAATAAATGAATTAGAAAATTTTTATGACATAAAGCAAATACAGTACCTTTAGGTACTGTAGATACTTTCTAGGATCAATGCAGCCTATTTCAATTTATGCTACTGAAGATACAATGAAAATAAATGGTATAAAATACCGACACTATGGAAACATAAACACATATGCAGTTTAATGTGATCCTTTACTGTGATCTTTTATGTGATCCAGAACAATGGCTTCTATAACATAGCTGAACCACTTGCCAAGAAACTTCTTCATCACCATCCCACATAAGAACATAGAACACTGCAGAAGGTCTACTCACAACTTGTCCAATACCCCTGCCAAGCTACCCAAGACTCTATAACCCCACCCAGTGGATCCTCAGATGTACCATTCTCCACCTGACCTCAACATTCTGACTATAAATACTCCCGTACCTTCCACCCCAGGTAGATCTGTTTGTGACTTGAAAAAGCCCACTGTGTGGGCAAAACGTTGTCAATAAAGGATCACATTAAACTGCATATGTGTTTATGTTTCCATACTGAAGATACAGTTGGATGTGCTGTACAAAAATAGTAAAAGTATATCATATTAAGGTAACTTTGTACATGATGGAGTGGTACAGTAATTAAAATAATGAATGTCCTAAAATAGCAAGTATGAATGTCCTAAAATAGCAAGTATGAATGTCCTAAAATAGCAAGTATGAATGTCCTAAAATAGCAAGTATGAATGTCCTAAAATAGCAAGTATGAATGTCCTAAAATAGCAAGCATGAATGTCCTAAAACAGATGTATTAAAAAATGAATGGAATCCAAGAGGAGGTAATTAAGTGCTACAACTACTGAATCAGTATTAGTATATTAACCTGTAGGAGTGATACAGTGTGTGAGGACTGGGATATAATCAGATCTGATCCAGGAAATATTAGGATCACTCCAGTTCTTTAGATCATGAGTCCTTCAGCAGCATCAAGACACCCCCTCAACCTTGAAGGGGTGCAACCATTGGAAAATGTAAAAGTTACTATACATGACAAACTGATCACTGTTATTTCCTGAACTCTATTTTGTAAGCATTGTGTCCTTTATCTGTTAAGAATACTTTTTCTGCAAAGTAGTAACTCTTCAAAAAAAAAATTCTGATAGAATATTTTGAATCCAGCCTTGTGTTGCTTTACATGCAGATCCTTTCAACTTATGAATGAGTTGAATTCCTGAAGTTTTTTCCAAGTGTTGAGAACTAAACCTATTTACTCACAGAAATCAATGTACTGTGGATATAGTTATGCAAGTCAAGAGAAGCATATTTACCCAATAATTTACCTTAGATGCTGACACTTTTCCATAGCAAATAATAGTAAGCCATACTCTCTTCAATTATAGGTTAACAAAGCAGAAAAAAACAGAAAAAAAGAGTGTTGTCTTGTTAGATCTAAGTGATGCTTCTTGCAGCATATATGTGTGATTTGTAAGAGAAACAACAATGAATTAAAAGATGACTGGATCCTGGAATACAGTGGACCCCCGCATAACGATTACCTCCGAATGTGACCAATTATGTAAGTGTATTTATGTAAGTGCGTTTGTACGTGTATGTTTGGGGCTCTGAAATGGACTAATCTACTTCACAATATTTCTTATGGGAACAAATTCGGTCAGTACTGGCACCTGAACATACTTCTGGAGTGAAAAAATATCGTTAACCGGGGGTCCACTGTACTGCTTTGTCTTTAACTACTGCACACAACAGATGCTGCTGCTTCACATCAAGTAGTTTACGTGTTCGATCCTAACACTCTCACGTTCAGACCTATGGATGTTTTCATAAAGTTTTATTTATTATTATTTCTTATGAACCAGAGACATAAATACAGTGGAACCTCAGCTCATGAACGCCCCACCATGAGAACTTTTCAGGATACGAAGTCATATGGTTGATTTTCTGCTTCTGGATACAAGCAAAATTTCAGGATGCGAACTTTCCCCTTAACCCTTTCAGGGTCCGTCCCGTAGATCTACGGCTTCAATTTGAGTGTCCAAACCGTAGATCTACGCCAAAATTCTAGCACCGTCAAATTTAGCGCAAAAACACTCATAGGCCTATATGTGAGAGAACGGGTCTGCGTGGTGGGTGTGCGCCATAAACGAAAAATCTAGGCGCCCACATAGCATTGTGGGAACGCCAGCTCAGTTACCCTTGTTCACCATGCCTCGTCGCAAGGCAGCTCTCACTCCAAGGAAAATTGGGACTCCTGTTCATATCTGATAGTTCTGACAGTGATGGAAGTGGAAATGAAGACGAATTCTTTGGCTCTGATCAGTTAGTGACCGAAAGGAATGACCAGGATATCGATAATAGTGCAGAAAACCTTGATGATCCTCAACCTTCTACCTCTGGTGTGGGCACTCGTCAGTCACGGTCGGTTGTACCTCAACGCAAGAGAAAACTATTATTTTTGCGTGGCCAGGCCTCTGACTTCAGTAATGATGATGATAGTGGCATGGATTGTGATTTTATTGCTCTTGACGATCATTCGAGTAGTGATAGTGAGGAATCATATTCACCAGTGAAGCATCGGTATGTACGCCGCCGCATGCGCTCGGGTAGTGTACCCTATGCCGTGCCCAGGGGACGGAGTACATCGAGGAGTACATCCTGTGGCCCTACACCAGGTATAGATAGTGATAGTGAGGATGATGTGGCTACACTTGGCATGGA